GACAAGCTCTAAGCTCCCGACCACCCTCCCGGCATGTGAGATAGATAGTGCAGTGCATGTAAATGTAAGGGTGTGTAAGGGGTGAAGATGGGACAACGAAGATGCCTGAAAGATCGCGTGCAGTACGCGGCCAATTCGTAGGGGCACTACTCGCCAGGTGCTGATAGGAGTAACTGCGGAATACTACCAGTGAAAGCAGACGGCCGATAAATTACTCCTTCAGACATCAACTGAATTCTATCTAGCTATCTAGCGAGTGTTGAAAACCCTGCCAACATCTGGACTTGAGCCTAGGACATTCCAGTCAGAATCACTGCAGTGATATAAGTCGATGCCATGAGTACCCTCTACCGGTTTTGTTTATTATTATTATTATTATTATTATTATTATTATTATTATTATTATTATTATTATTATTATTATTATTATTAGATACGTTTTTAAAGTTAGTATCGATTTGGAAAGTAATTCTTACTGGTCAAATACAAGAAAACCCTTGTATAACCCTACAATAAATTAAATATTTTAACAAAAACAGTCTTCACGAATTCTGGCAGATATTTAATGGCGGACGACCTCCCCATTGTGGCCTTGCTATCGCATGATGACAGCTGTGTCGACAAATTGAAGTGCGCTAAAAAATCCAGTCGGTACACGCAGTATGAGAATAATAAAATATTTGCATTTTTCTGTTTTTAGATTTCCCAGTATTTATGGGTATTTAACGAAACCACAGACACTTCTCACGTTGATACTCATAATGAACTAAAATGAAAAATTTGACTTTGAATTTGAAGTTATTAGCTTATTCTTTCAGAGTTAAGATGTTGTACGTTAGGTTAAATATGATATTGTCTCTCTGCATAAAATAATGAAATAGATGACAAGATGGATTTGGATATCTCCTGGAATGTAACTGCAAGGAAAATAAAAACTGAAGACATGACGTGAAAGACGAGATTTGGAAGCTCTAGAATTGCTTTTCACGCTAATTCTACACGTTGCAGAGAGACCTATTTTAGAAATCTCAGAAACTACCTATTTCTAGAATTGCAGATGTAAGTTCACGTAGTTACAACTTGAAAGTTGCCTAAAAGTACTTATGCATGAGCTATTTATTTCAGCGGAACAGACCTTAACATGAAATATTCTAGAAACAACCAATTTCTTTTCACTTATTGGCATCATTGACTTGCTTACTGTCATCAGTTTTCAATAAATTATTTTTAAAAAATGTATAAGATACGTATACATTTTTAAATCGACTTTTATTTAACCTTCTAGTGGTTTGGAAAATAAAAATTCTCACAAATATTTAAAGTTTATTTCATATGTTTTATTTCAAAGCAGTAAAACATTAAATATTCGAACACCACATCAGGCACTTGAAATGTAATAATGCCCGGTAAAATGTAACTATCCTCTTCTTCGAAGCCATCTACGTGTTCCCTTGGAATCCAAAACTGGGGGTACAACCCGTCGGACCATATACATCGAAGACCGATCCGTATAGCGTGCGGTTATACGAGGATGTCGATAATGTTAAGTTGGGCGCGAATTGGGAGATAGCGTGTTGACTAGGGTAGGCTTTAATGTGTCTGGAGTTGAAAGAATAGCGGCCGCACGATACCATAAAACATTGAAACGGCAGTAAAATATAAGGTCCGTGTTTCCTACTTATATTCTACTTTTAGCGGCTAATGGTTAACGGATCGTGTCGAAATGAGACGGCGCGCCACGCGTGACAACCATCCAACCACACGCGTGCCGAGCCGTGGAAGAATTCGCGGCGTGATTCGAAAGTGAATAGCGTGTAATACGTAACGAGGTGTGAAAAGGCGAGAGAGGAGAAGAGGAAAAAAACGACCACGGAACTTGATATTCCGCACGCCGTTGGGAGGCGGTTAGATAGCTGCAACTCCCAAAATCGAGGCGGGTCGCGGCGGACGCCGGAGCGTTTCCCGTCAAATGACCCGCATCTATTAGCGAGCGGCGCGGCGCGGCGCGGCGCGGCGCGGCGGTCCCCCAAATCGGGCCGGCTCGTGGCCGTCGTATGGTAATGGCGCGGGCGCTGGCGCTGACCGGGAGAAGTGATGAGTATTGGGAGTCCCTCTGCGTCGCGGAGAGCGAGGCGTATTCGCACTTTTGTATTGTTTTGAATTCTTTCATTTTATTTTATTTCACAGTTTTACATTGCAAAAAACAACTTTTTGTTACCCAAAAAGTCTAATATTTTATATAATTTTAATTTTATTTTTCCACTTGTCCCGATCTTGTCTGGTAAATTTTTCCCTCACAAAAGTCCCTCAATTTCTCTCAACTAGCTATGTTTAGGTCTTCCTCTTCTTTTCCTACTCACTGGATACCATTCTAAAATAATGTTTATATTGGATAGTTTCTAAAATTTTATGACCTTTATTCATGTTTTCTCATATTTTTAAATTGATTTTATCTAATTTTGATATCCTGGATGACGTTCTTAAAAAAACCTTTCTGCTGACAATAATTTTGGTTTTAAATTTTTTTTATTTCCAAATTTCCGATCTATATAAAACAGTACTTTCGACAATAGATTTATATATTCTTAATTTGGATTCTTTTGTTATATTCTTATCCTATGTTATTTTATTTAGCATTGATGTTGATAATATTACTTTGTTTACTTTATGTCTTATATCAACTTCTTGATTTACATTCTTATTTATTTCTACTGCCAAATATTTAAAATCTGAACAACATTTAATTTTTCCTTTTCCATATTCTAAAATTAATTCAGTATTATTTACTCCACACCCCGTATGAAATGTCTTTCCCATATTAATTTTTAGTCCCCATTTTGTGTATTCTTGTAATAATTTTCTAAACATCTTCAACACCCTGTGCTATTATTACCTGGTCATCTGCAAATAATTAAGTGTATATAATTTTATTTCCTATAGAAATATCCATTCCTTCAACTTTCTTTTTCCATGTTTCTAGATTTTTCATGTTTGAATTGATTTATCAGTCTAGAAAATCATATACCATTCGAGGTCATTTTCTATCTCATCTTGCTACCCCCTTTCACCTTTCTTCACACTGTGTTTGTATTTTGAGGTTTGTGATAAAAGTTCATTTCTTCGACAACACAACCAATGACGAATGTTTCAAACGCTTTCACCGTTTTCACAATTTTTGTAGTCATTCCTGTAGCAGCTACATTTGACTAATGAAAGAAAACATGTGTGCGTAGCATACATTTCACTTACGGATAAATTTGGTAATTTCATGCTGATAGCTGAGATTGGTTGAACTTTGAGTCAATTATTTCTTACCATTGTACGCTCAGCACATGAGTGAACCGGTCATTATTATACAGAGTCGTAAACTTAACTCGTAACCTATGTGTGAGAGTACTTGCTCTTGTTTTGGGCATTTTGCAACCACGTGTTTTGCCACCTTTCAAGACAGCGGTGCCCCGCACATCGAGACAACTGAGGAGGCGACCGTCAGGTCATAAGCTGCAGCAACTTTCCTATTTGTGACTTTTTCCCATTCAAGAGCTTAGGCGGGCAGGTATGCGGCTCACACGTCGGAATCTTTTCGTGCTGCGCTGAGTGGATGGGGAGGGGGGGAGGAGGGAGCAGAGACTTGAGCAAGAAACAAAACGTCTCTTTAGACGATTCTGTCCAGTATGCTTAAGAAACTAAACTGAAGACGTGGAGGGAAATTATCACTGTTTATAAATTTATTAATACAATCGTTACAATAATTATTATTTAATGAAAGTCGGCTCAGAGAGAAATCAGAAAGATATCTTGTGAAACATTACCTCTAAGTTCTTCGTTATTTATAACAATAATAATGTATTCTGATATAATTGATTATTAAGCAAATAAGAAAACTTTAATAAAATTATTAACAATACCAATCAAACAAATCAATAGTAAATTAACATTAATTGAAAATGATTAATTAAAAAAATTCCTTAAAATGACAAAAATCTGACCGTCGAGTAAATGCTTAAAGTGACCACCATTTGCCAAGAGAAAAGCGTTTACTCTTTTCAGTGCAGTGACTGCAGTATGTTGATGACTAACAAGGAAGAATAAGTGCTTTCTCTTTCTTCCAACTCACTCCGAGAGCACGCGGCCGTGGGTTGCTAAAAGTGTAAAGGATGCGAAAGATATTTCACGTGTTGCCAAATTGCCAAAACAAGAGTAGGTCTTTTCAGAAATTGATTGCGAGTTAAGCTAAAGTCTCTGCATTTATATGTATTGTTAGTCCGTAAAAGAAAAATACTACAAGCAGGCAAGAAAGGCACTTAAGATCCAGAAACAGACATGAAGTTTGTAACCTACTAAGCGGGCAAACGATTAGGTCAAGTATAAGAAGAAAGATCGTGATAGGAGAAATATGTGGGATGGAGGAGCGTGCAATAACAGAACAAGCAGAGGAATTTTAGAAACCTGCAGTTATGGACCAGTACTACTCCATTCTACAGTTTGAAAGTAATGGGTCGAGTCAAGCGGGAGAGTCAACCAGAAGAAGAAAAAGAAAGGGAAGGAAGGAAGGATGAAGAAGAAGAAGTAGGAAAGGTAGGGAATAGAAATAACTAATGGTAGTAATAACATAAGTAATAATAATAATGATAACAACAATAACAACAATAATAATAATAATAATAATAATAATAATAATAATAATAATAATAATAATAATAATAATAATAATAATAATAATAATAATAAAAATAATAATAATGGTAATTTACTATTTAAAAAATATGAATATAGAAACATAATATGTAGGTTCGAATCAGAGGGTCCAATCGAGCGGGCAAGCCAAGGTGAGTGGAGAGAGAGAAAGAAGCGAGGGGGAAAGGTGGGGGTTGGACGGGGCGGATATGCGCTTCCCCAAATCACTGGCGAAACCAAAAACAGACACAGAGTTTCGGAGCGGCAAGCCAGCGCGCGGCTGGTGGATCAAGCAAAGGGAGAGGCGTGCCTGCAATACCCACCGATGACGACGACGTGGCCGAAGACGGTGTCAGCGCCCACGGCGGAGCAGTTCCAGCGGCGGCCGCGGAACTGGTGCTGGCACTCGGCGAGGCCCAGGCGCATGCCCTCCCCCACGGCGGCCACGGCGTCGGGGGAGGCGCGGCACAGCTCGCGCTGCCGCGGAGACAGCCCCGGGATGCGAGCGCACAGCACGCCCGCGCCCAGCGCGCGCACCCTGCAACACGCGCACGCCACACGCCGTCAGCGACAAGCGACAGAAATATTACGTTTCAAGACATCCCCGCCGTCAGGTCACACTTCAATATGCCGTCAGCGCCAAGCAACAAGTGTCAACAATATTAAGTTTCAAGACATATCTTGCAACACGCCGTCAGGTCACACTTCAATATGCAGTCAGCCCCAAACAACAAGTGTCAGCAACATGTTTCAAGACGTACTTACAACAAGGCATGCAGCATGCCGTCAGCACCAAGAGCCAACAAATATTTGTCGGTAATATTAAGTTGCCGCATTAAGTTGCAAGAAGCAAGAGCGCAACAAGCGCATGCAACACGTCATCAGCGTTAAGCGACATCAAAAGGCAGGCTTAAATATGCTGTCAGCGCCAAACAAGTGTCAGCGAGTTGTAAGACTCACTCTGTGCAAATCTATTGAATTTAGATCAAATCTTTAAATGTACTCGTACTTATTAATTGATGCAGTTTCTAACGAGTTTTGTCATCTGAAATGTTGAAAACAAGGAACGATTAACGATGTCTATTGCGAAAACTCAGCGAAAATATTCCATAGCAGTCACATTCAAATGGCAATATTGTGAATGTATATGTAACAATGTATTGTAGTGACTCCATCGTGACCTTGAATGTTTAGATGGCATAACACTGGTGACAGAATATCATTGAATATTGAATATAATCACTCGTACTAAATATCGTACCAGTCCCACAACACGGGAAAGGAACGCGGGTTGCATATCCTTTCCATAGATCCGCCTGTGCTAGCGAACTTTGCATTCAGAAGAATCATAATTCGTCTCAATTAATTTTATATTTTAAATGTGGTATCGAAATCTACCATTATTCCATGTACTAACGCTTGAAAACCACTGGTATTTTCAGAATTTACAAAATCCCCTTCTCCTCTGCCAATTCTGTATACTTAGTTGCCAACATCAGGCCAGGGAGTGAGCAACGCAAGTGAGAGGCTTCCTCAAAATTCAATTAAACAATAATTTCTATTGTTTAATTGAATTCTATTTAATGCATATTTTCTATGAATTCGATATAATTTCTATTGTTCTATTGCTTTCTATTGAAATGCTTGTATATATTGCAAAATCGCAAATAAGAGGTATTGCAGACAATATTTATTTTAGTGCAAAACTAAAAACACTAGGAATAAAACCGATGAAATAAATGATATTGACGGTATCATGTGGATGCCTTTTACTAGTATTATTCAACAACTTCAAGATAACAGTTCTCTTAGACCGGAGAAGAAAATTAAAAATGTTTACATCTCCCTACTATTGATACTCCAATGACATTTTCTGTTTTTGATATTAGTATATAGTTTCTACCTATCACTTGGGAGACTTTTGGGCAAAAGTTCTAAAAATTAAAATTCTCTCAATATTAATTACTTTTCTCTACACATACTCTCGTACACATTTACATCCTTATACAGGTAAATAAGCTACTCGTCGAATATTTTCTAAACTATTGAAAATTTTGAGATGAAATGCTGACCAAACGATTTATATCATATGGCCTCGTCATTTGAGTTTATTAGCTTTTTGATAACTTGAATTTTAATTTAAGATATTGGACAAATTCATCAATACAACATATGGTGGTATTTGATGAATACTTATCAACACTATTGAGTTTTAAAATATGGCATTATAACCGGTTCGAGAGATCGCGGGGTGACTGTCACTCTCTCATACAAAACACCGTGGAATAAGATGGCTAGCGCGCGTTGTGACCTCTAAATGATAATCGACACTACGGTACATAAGTATAAATAAGGAGGACTATAAATAGTGAAAGATATGTCTGTCGCATACAGTGAATGTCACTGAGAGTTCTGAGAAAATATGTGCCCTTGCGGTAATTTCTGCGGACAGTAGATGAAGAAATTTGTATTATTAGCATTACTCATACTATCTGTAAAAGTTATTTCGTTTTTTAAATAGTTTACGACAAAGTCACATATACATAACAGCGAAAATTGTAGAGTTACATTAACAAAGTATTTAGTGCCAAAATATCTGTTACTGGAAAACTTACAGCTCAGATAACAAAATCATTGCCTGGGAATAGTGCGATTTTCACAGTGAAGTAGAGGAGAGAGATGTCTGTATTTTCGCTACGCTCGGGAGACCTACCAAAACAGTGTTCAAAGGAGAGCCAACAGTTTCACCATACGATTTGACGCGCAATGACGTCAAAAAAGCAGAGACGTAATGATAACCTGATTGTGTTTCGCAAGACTTAGAAAAAGTATTTTAACCTACCTAATGAACGATAATTAGGTTATTCCGGCCATTTCGTTGACACTTTTATTAATTTTTTGGGTGAAAAGTAAACACATTATGTTGAATAATAATTATTCAATATACAATTATTACAACATACGAGGGCTTTGTCTAGACGTCATATTCGTCACATGTCTCTCTATAAGTCTGAGATTTAAAGTAGGTCCGGGCGTGAGTGAGACCGTTAGCTAGCCGGCAAAGTCGGACAGTCGACCCAAAGTATCAAATATATTCATTATCTATCTATTCGTGTAAAATGTATAGTGTCCCATTAAAAAATTAAGTTACATAGTTCAATATTTTCAAAATAAAAACGTCAGCGAAAAGCTAATAACAACAACTAATATGTCCCTTGGGTCTCGTTTTGGTGAAAATTTCACCTTAAATCTTGAACCGCCCTAGAAAACAGACAAGTGTACAATTTTATTGAGTAACTCTGTAATAGTCACGTAATCTGCGTCACTCAGTCCATCTATATATCTATCTACCTGTCTATCTACATGCCTGTCTGTATCTGTAACAGTCTGTCTGTCTGTCGATCCGTCACTCACGGTTAGACCCCTTCGGTTCATTAATTGAGGCAAATGAGGTGTCATTCGATTTTGATTGATACATTAGTGATTCCGGGTGCGTCAACTGCTAAGGTCATTAGTTCCGTAAATATATTGCGTTGTATTTCCTCGGGAGGGGGCGGTGATCTTTCCTCGCTAGATGGTGATATCCCGCACCGACCTACCACTAGTGGTGCGCTTTTCCTCAACCAGGTGTGTCTCACCAACCCCAGCTGGAACAATCTCTAAACTCTCGGCTGGTTTCCCGGCATATGCGGTACAGTAGTGCACGTAAGTAGAAGTAAGGGATGTGGATAGGACAAGGAAGAGGAAGGTAAGATCACGCACTGTCCGAGACACGTTTGTTAGGGTACTGCTCCGGCATTATTCTGGTATTGAATGGAGAAACCACGAAAAATACCGGTCAGAGCAGCTGGTCACTAGAATTCTCCTCCAGACAGGAACTGAATTCGACCCAGTTATCAAGCTGGTTTTGAAAATCCTGCTACCGTTGGGAGTCGAAAGTAGGAGCCCCGGGTCAGAGGCACTGCAATGACATCAGTTGATGCCCTAAACCACCTCTCTCGGTAGGTGTCATACGACACGACTCGATTCTATGGCGCAGAATTTTTTTTCCGGATAAATTCAGAAGATTCTAAGATATTTTCTACTAAGTGTTTTTTATCAACTAAAAACCGCTTTGGATGACATACAGCGCCTAGAGAAGTGATCAATCGCTCACTAGAATTTTCTCTAAAAGATAATTTGATTGGCTCAATTCTTAGGTAGTTACTTCAAAGATAGACGACGGCGGCGACGGCGGAGACAAATTCGAAGGACACGCCTTCTCGAGAACACATTCAGGTGAGGAAAGGCTTTTTAAGGTTGCTGCAGGTAAACTTTCGGAGCTTAATCAATAAAGAAATAGAGTTTTGGAATTCAGTTGACGCCTGTGATCCCGACATAGTGATAGGGACTGTTATGGCTTACTGAGGAAATCGGGTCCTCTGAAATGTTTCATTCTCATTACAAGATCTTCAGAAGAGATAGAAATCCTAGAGGGGGCGGAGTTCTTATGTGCGTCAAAGCAAACATGTATATCACTTTAAATTGTGTTAGTACAGAATATGAAATGATGGGATTAGAAATTATTACTTCAGGAACCATATTAGAAATCATTGCATGTTATAAGCCTCCGAGCGACGGTTTTGACATTTTAGATGACATCATTCAGAAAACAGGAACGAGAATGGCCATCCCATTGTTATTGGAGGTGACTTAAATATCCCTAGCGTAAATTGGGAGGAAACCGTGAGCGAGGGGAAAGTCCAAACACTAGTGAACAGTCTAGTTTGGGACAGGGGATTAACTCAGGTATGTCGGAGCGGGACGCGGCAGGATGCGATTTTGGATGTCTACTTAATTAGGCCGAAAGAACTTTTCATAACTTGTGGAGTTGTTGAGAGTATTAGCAACCACAAAGCGGTTCTTCATGACATACAGGAAAATATTTCAAGATAAGGCATCAAGATAGTAACAAAAGTACGGCAATACAAGAAAGCCAATGTAGACGGGCTTCATGTTCTTTTTAGGGAACAATACAATCGCTTTCTGAGAACCGAGGGAGGTATGGAAGAAATATGGGGCGCGTTCAAATATATTAAACATGAGGCTATGCAAAGATTTGTTTCCTGTAAAATTTAAAAAAAAATAATTCGAATCCAGAATACTACAATGCAAAAATTAGGAGGATGAAGAGGGTATCGAGAAAGGCATTTATTAACAGAAAACGCAATAGCGAACATATTTTTCGAAATACTTCCAAAGAATTGAGGCGAGAAAAGAAAATTGTTCAGGAAGCACATTTAAAGAATATTCTAGATGGGAAGGGAAAGAACTGAATAGGATTATATACATATGTTCGTAGAAGGAAAGGAAATAAAGAGGACATCCCACTTGTTCGTGAGAACGGAAACACGCTCATTACTAACGATCGGGCAAAAGCTAATGCGTTTAATAAGTATTTCAGTTCGGTTTTCACAGGCAATACAAACCATTCATTAATTCAGGGGTCTTCAGATACAAATCAGTTTAATATTGAAGTGAACGTTTTACGGAATAAAGTAAAATCTATGAAAAATGGTAAGCCAAGGGGTTCAGACGACATTTCTTTAGACAAAATTAAACTTGGAGAAGAGGCAATATTTCCGTACCTAATTAGAATGTTTCACGTATCCATGAACAATTATGAAGTACCTGAATATTGGAAATTAGCTTTTGTCGAACCAGATTTTAAAAGTGCTGACTAAACTATATTAAGTAATTATAAACCGGTAAGTCTTACGTCAGTGGTCTGTAAAATTATGGAGTATCTAGTTGCCAGTTCAAATTAAGCAAGAATGAGAAATCAAAAAATGGCTCTATGATGGCCGGCTTCAGAAGTGGTTATTCATGTGAAAGTCAGGTAGCCACGCTATTTCCGAATCTAAGCAGATGAAATTGACGCGGGCGAGAGAGTAGACGCAATGGTTATAGATTTTGCCAGACCGTTTGATGTCGTCCCCCACGATCGGCTTGTCCATAAATTAATGAATTCAGGCATAGATTTCAGTGGTTGCGAGGATTAGCGAGTTTCTGCGTGACAGAAAACAGAAAGTCCAAATTCGCCATGCGTTTTCTACCGGGGCAAGCGTTACGTCAGGAATACCGCAAGAGAGTGTCATTGGACCTCTTCTATTTCTAGCGTTCGTCAATTATCTGCTAGCCAATATTAAACGATGGGATATTTGCAGACGATTACATAATATATCGTAGTATGAATTCAAAAGAAAACGAAGAAATGTTGCAACGGGATCTTGATGCGTTACATTGCTGAACAGAAAATAATGAAATGACCATAAATAGCTCCAAAAGCAAATACATAACTTTTGGCAGGGGTCATCATTGCTGAGAAACAAATTACCGTTCAAATAAAGACATTATTCCGAGAGTTTCGTTATGCAAGTACGTAGGAATCCATTCCCACAATAAATTAAGCTGGAAAAGTCACGTAGATTTTGTTGTAGCGAAAGCCTGGAGATCTCTTCACTTTGTAATGCGCACAATAAAAAAGAGTTCGGGAAATGCAAAGGAAATTGCTTATTTATCGCTTGTTCGTCCGATAATGGAATGTGGAACAATTTGTTGGGATCCGCCCAAACTTATGCAGTGTCAAAATTTAGAAAGAATTCAGCGTAGGGCAGCTTAATTTACTTTCAGGGACAAGAAAATGGCAAAATGGGATTCACTTGAAAATAGGCGATCAGTATCAAGGCTCTGCGCTTTGTATAAAGCTCATAGCGGTCATCCAGCTTGGAAAGAAATTAATCGGCGGTTAAGTATTCCTACATATATCAGTAGAGAGGATCACAGGCACAAAATAAATTTAAAACCGCAGAGAACAGATGTGGGGAAATTTCTTGTACAAATCGAACAATAAAAGAATGGAATGGATTGCCTTCAAAAACCTTGGAAACCTTTCCTCGCAGCGTTCAATAGTTTAGGAAATTAATTAAAGGAATTACTAAATAAAAGAGGGACTTAACTGAGCATAGCAGGTTATAGAGCGATGCGTAAGTAATATATTGTGAAGTGAGGTGTCGTGCAGGGTAGAGCAGAGAAATAATATAGGAAATTATTAAGGGCTCATAGTGAAGTGAAGTGAAGTGCAGTTGAACAAAAATTCAGTGCGGCGTTAGATTATAGATGTTTCTTTTTTGAGGTAATTTAAATGTTTTATGAATTAGACAGTTTTATATTATTATTGTTATTGTTATTATTATTATTATTATTATTATTATTATTATTATTGTATTTATTATTATATAAATTGCATGTTAGCTGAATTTTCTTATTTATGTAATTAGCTGCCCTCGAGTTATGCCCATTTGCATTTCAAATAAATTTAACTTATCTTTATATTGTGACAGAAGGTAATCTTTATGATTTCAATACACTTACGAGTTCATTGGTATAATGCTGGGTTTTACAATCATGCCGGCATTTACAAGAATCGTTAGAACTTGATTAATCCGATTGACGATAATTAAACATAATTTGCAATTAGCTGCTTATTTAAGTTAATATTTTAATCAATATTTTTTGTATATATTTTTCTAAAAATTTTTTAACATAAAAATACCCGCCTAAAGCGCCAGGCTAAGCTAGTTAACATTATCATCG